ACTGAAAGGCTCTGGTGTCTTTCAAAGCCCAYAGTCAGGTCCTCTAATGTGCAAGAAAAGGGGTTTGGGACCACGTGAGGCCTCAAAACTCATTTGATGAGTCCTGTTAGAAGGGTTTGGGGGTTTTCATTTGCTCGAAGTCAGAACCATGGCAGAAATTCTGACAGGATRTTCTCAACAGGTCAAAACAACAAAATGGACTTCATTGGCAGCCTCAGAAAATCAGAGAAATTTGGCAAAAAGTTTAGAGCACCCCACAGCAGCCTTCAAGTATCAAAGGGTGTTAAAAAAAGAGCTGGGAGAGGGACTTTTGACAAGGGACAGGCCAACAGGAAAGGGCTTTAAACTGGCAGAAGGAAGGTAGGTTTAGATGAGCTGTTAGGAAGAATTTCCTCATTGTGGGAGTGGTGAGGCACTGGAACAGTTGCTCAGGGACACTGTGGATGCCCCATCCCTGGAACTGTTCAAGGCCAGGCTGGATGGGGCTCTGAGCAACCTGTTCTGGTAGAATTTGTCCCTGCCCATGGCAGGGGGGTTGGAACTGAGTGACCTTTAAAGTCCCTTTCATCCCAAACCATTCCGGGATTCTACAACAAAACCAGACCGTGATTTCAAAAAAGCAGAGTGTGTTTCCAGAGGACACTTTTTTTCCCTATCTTCTTCCCTCTGCCCTGCTTTCCATAAAAACTGATCATTTGCAGCTCTTTCATATAAACTTTTATGGTTTTGCTGAGGAAGTTCTTCTCTCCTAGGAAGTAGCAGAGTGCTCACCAATGGGCAGCAGAATTAATAGTGCTAAGTAGGATTATGTAAAAAACCACAAAGACACCAAAAATCCCACAAAAAAAAAAAAAAGAAACAATCAAAGAAACTCTTTTCCCAATAACAGACAAAAAATACCAAACTCCTCTAAGCCCACAATGTTTATTTACCTGCCATTTTTCCTTGGGATTTTTTTTTTTTTCTGTGGAATGAGGTGGTGGCTGAAGGCTGTGATTGCTGACCCTTTGCAGTGGTCCCATTCCCATTCCTGGTGCTGTTCTGTGCCCCCAAATCCATCTGCAGCAGTGGAGCAGCTCCATGGTTTGTCCCACATCCAACCCCAGAAAATAAATCAGAAATTCTTATCACGGCAGCTCCCTGAGGGTCAGTGGCAGGAATTTCATCCCTTTTCCCTGAAAAACACGTGCAGATCTCCTCCACAGCAGCACAGGGCACGTGGAGAACTCTGTGGAGCAATTTTCACTCTCTGAATTTCCCAGAGTGTGCTCAGGCATCCTGAACAGGGAGAGGATGAGAGTGAGCGGGCAAGAAAAGACTCCTGGATTATCCCAGGGCAAACAGAGAGTTTGCTTGGAGCAAATATCTGGCCCTGACCCAGTCTAAATCAAACCTGGGATCTGTCTGCATTAAGATGGATTACGTGGATCCTGAAAGACTTACATGAAGAACCCTCGTGTTTGTTTTTTTTTTTTTTTCTTATTTTTTTGTGTGAGTAGGGGATGGTTATTGCCAGTCTTGGTATGCCAGGTCTGCTCTCTTTCCTGCAGGGGGATTTGCAGGGTTGTTCATTCTCTYCCTCTCTGTTGGTCTGAGTTACAAGAGGTTTTGGCAACAGCAGCRCAACTCTGGGGAGTTTTTAGATTAAAATTAAAAAAGAAAAAAAACCCAACCCAACTTCTATAATTCATGAATTGAGGATGTAATTATATCTGGGTTTGGACTGAAGAAGCAGRAAAGCTGCAGTACCTGATGCTCGATTTTCATTTGGTACCTGAGGTGGGCTTCATCACCACTTTTTGCTTCAGTTATTTAGGGCCAGACCTTTGTCCCCACAGCACARCCCCACAGCTGCCCCTCTGCTTCCTGGAGCGARTCCTGCTGGAATTTCAGCCCTGGAAATGCAATCAACATCCAGCCCTGCTGACTCCCTCTTTGCTCTTCACGGATCAGTGGGGRACTGTGAGAAAAACTGATCTCATTAACTTCTGCAGGGAGTCGGAGGGTGACTGGAGTGTGTTTGAATTGTGCATTCCAAGGTTTTAATTAAGATGCATTTACCACTGCCAATAGTTGGGTTTTTCCCCCTTTAAATGTTTTTAACATTTGCCTGGGCCTTCATCAGATCCCTGGGGCAGCTAATTTAGTTGGTGTTGCTTTAATGAAGGTTCTGAGCAAGAAAATCCTTTTTTGGCCCTCAGCTGGAACACAGAAATCACCACATTTCAGCTTTTGGTCGACAAATGCATGGGAAAATGTGTTTTTTTGGCTGAGTGGCAACAGCCTTGAAGCAAAAGAGATGGATTTGATGTCTTCTTCCACACTGGAGAGCTCCACTTTGCAAGGGCAAAATATTGAAGTGGAAAACCACATGGAGAGAGAGGCCAGAAGGTGCTGGATACCCTTCTGGGCAGGGGTGTGGCTGAGCATGTTTGGTGAGGTCCGAAGGAAGGGGCTTTTGGTCAGCATTGGTGGCCAATTGGGGAATATTTCTGTGTGAGAGAGGATGAAACCACAATTTCCACCTTCCCCTAAACAGATCTGTGTTCACAACACCCCTGACTCTCTCTGCCCCTTAAAAAACCCCAACCTGAACAAAAAAAAAAACCCCAACAACAAACCAGAAAAGCCCAGAATCTTCACAAGAAGGCTCATGGGGCACTTCCTGGCCATCCCACTCTGCTCCATCGCAACAACGGTGCTGATGTCACTTTTTTTCTCCAGCCTTTGACAAATGGGAGCTGGATATTATCCTGAAATTAAAGAACATTGGAGCAGGAGGAGTGGGGTCAGGAGGAGACTTGCTGTATTGTGGGGCCTCAATAATGCTGACACAAAGGAGCTGATGAAAGGGCTGCCTGGGGAGAGGAGGTGCTCGAAATGGGAAAGGATGGAACAGTCGGTGGGTGGAAATTGAAGAGAATCAATGTAGAAATACAATGTAGATTTTTGGGAGTGAGGGCAATCAGCCTGATTGCCAAAGGGACTAARTCCTCCGTCGATGTGAGCCTTTAAATTAGAGGGAGATGTCTTTAACAGCCTGMCACACAATGGGAAGAGAATTCTGGGGCTTTGTGCAGGGTTATTGGATACCAGGGGACCGAGCAATCAGTCAGGAAGTGCTGCATCCTCTCTACTCTCAAAACTGTCAGAAAATGTAAAATAATCCATGCAAGTTTTGGTTTGGACAATTCYTCATTTTTTAAATTAATTTCTTAAWTTTTTTTAATCTGGAAGCTGTTTCAGAATATCTTTCTTTAGCTATTGCACTGCCACTTGCTAACCAGGAAATTATTATCATTTTAGAGAAAAATGTACCTCGTATTTCCACAGCTGTTAAATGCAGTTTTCTGAGAGTACAATCAGAGGCAACTCGCAGGAACAACCATTTAAAATTCCCCAGCTTTTAGACGCTCCTTTAAAAAAAAATAAAAAAATCCTATTTTAGCAATATTGTATTAAAAGAATATGTGTTGGAAGCTGGAATTATTAATCTGGGAATGGTCTGGGCTGTGCTGAAACGCTGATAAAAGCTAAAATTGTGCTTTTATGCAGGGAAGTTGATTTCTGCCTCCTGAAGTGGAGGCACAGATAAACCCCTGGAAGTGCTTTTGGGCTTGATAACCTCGCCCTCTTCTCAAGTGTTTTCCACGAGATTTACACTCCTCAGGAAAAGGAAAGGGCTCTGACCTGCAGCAAGGCTTAGCAGCCAGAGCTCGGGCTCATCAGTGGAAAGAGCAGCAGTGGATTTTGASTAAAACCTGTTGGTTTTAGAGGATAAAGTTTAACAGGAGGTGTTGCTGTAATAGGATTTTCCCCAGCCTGGTGTTCCCATTTAATTCAGAGGTGTCTCTGCTCTTTTTTGCATTATTCCACTTGCTGAACCTCTTGCTGTAATCTGCACATGATAGCTGTTCCTGGAGGCTCTCTTCACTCCAGATTTCAGATATTTTATCAGCTTGGCTGCC